GGGGATGGGGTGGGAACAGGGTTCAACTTGGGGTGTGGGTCAGGTGACAGGGTTGGACAAGAGGGAAGGGTTGGGGTGGATAGGCATTTGGGTAAGATGGGGGGGCACATGAGCTGAGTTCTAGGTACTAAGAAAACCATCTGGTTTAACTGAGCTTGTAGACTAATTACATGATGAGGGTGGGGAGTGGAGGAAGAACAGTGAAACCCTCCGAGAGGACAAAGGAGGGTAGCTGCAAGAAGATGGAAGGAAAAGGTCTGGTTGGCAGGAAACAAGGAGGAACATGAGGACCACGGCAGAGGCAGGGACTGTGCAGGTGGACAGTGTCATGGGTCTCAACTGAGGAGAGGTCACCTAGGGAAAGGGAGAATGGCAAGGGCCAAAAAGACCAGATTTAGACCAAAGGTATTGTCATAATGTTTGAGAGATGAGAGCAGAACCCAGAGCACAGGATAGGTAGAGACTTGAGTGCGATTATGTTGGGCCTGGGGTTCACAGGCATGAGGGCAGAAGGCAAAAGTGAGGTGGTGACAGGAAGGAGGCAGAGGTATCGGAGGAGGAGGCTCCTCGAGAGCTATGTCAGAAGAGAGTGCCACAAGGGGTGTGAATGGAAACATGAAAGGTTATAGGGAGTGACATTCGCAGAGGCTCAGGAGAACAGCAAAGGCTGGGTCCACAGTCATGTGAGTGGTTGGTGGGTGGACTGTGTGCATTCACTAAAGTATGTGTGACGCATGGATGAATGCACTGGGGTGAGCTGAGGGTAGGGGATTAAGCAGGGAGCACACAGCAGAAAAGAGTACTGAGTCTAGGTGGAAGAGTCATAGATGGTAGCTGAAAGAACGTTGCACAGCTTAGGTAGGACAGTTCCTTTCCTATGTGTGCAGTGGAGAAGGGAAGCAGGATAGGCACTGCAACGAGACCCAGGAGGATAGGAGGTCAGGTGAGCAGTGTACAATAAGTTGAAGAGTACGGTAGAGGGTGGTGGTCAAACGGGCGAGACGAGTGAGAAAGGGCAGGCAATGGCGCTGTAGACTAGGGCAAAAGAGACTTGGTGAGAGGATCAGGATTGCACTGGGCCAAGAGGGATAGCAAAGAGTCTGAAAAAGGGAGGGGATGTGGAGAATATAACAACTGTGCCATCATGAGTGGACATAAGGAGTGAGGAAAAGCATGCAGTAGGGAAAGCATGGTGCAGAAAAGGAAATCAAGGAACACAGGCGAAGTGGGAAGACAACAGGGAATGATGAGGTGCTAGAAGGATAGCCCATGGAAAACGATGGAGACAGTCCTGTCAGTGTGGGGCATGGTAAGACGTGAAAGGTCAGAGGGAAGCCCAGACAGGCAGTGACCGTCTCCAAAATGGTGGAACCTAAAAGGTCGGGGGCTTAGGAGTGAACTGGGACAGCAGATGGATTCACTACAGGACGCTGTTGATGAAGATAGCAAGGAGGGAGCTGGAGGGCAGGT